TGCTTTCCAGCTGATTGGTGCTTCTTCAGGGCTCAGCAGAAGCACCAGGATCAGCGCCGAGCTCCAGCTGGAGCCTGGCGCTGATCCTGGCGCTTCCACTGAGCCCTGACAGCCCTGAAGCACCAATCAGCTGGAAAGCGGCACTGATCCTGGCGCTTCCACTGAGCCCTGACAGCCCTGCAGCTCCAGCCATCTCTCGTTCAGGCTTGTGCCACCGGTTCAGCTCATTCCCCTTCCCCGCTACCACTTTTCTAGGATGGTCGTGTACCACCTGGTCGCGTACCACCTGGTTGAAAAGCCCTGGACTAGGTGAGTGCAGTGCAAATCAAGTGAATGCTGCAACCAAGTGGGAAAAACACTAAAAAACACCACCATTACAATTTAATGTAATGTCTAAATCTGACTTCGGTATGTCAAATCTGCTATTCATATTTCTGATAATATATAAAAAATAAAATGCAAGCAGAATACTTTTGGGTAAACATTTGGATTTGAATATTGAGTAGTACGGTTTGTTTCATGCAGAAATAGTATGGTTCATGTAAGTTGTGCTGTTTGCAATAAACAAACCTATATAAAAAAGTTATATAATATTTTGAAAGGTACACAAATTAAAATTGAGTCTCCCTATCAGGAATAAATTGAATATGTGTTTTAGAATATGATCAAAAGTTCTTAATTTTTTAATTTTTTAAATATAAAAACTCCTAAAATACAATAGTATTATATTGACTTTCCTTATCATGCAGCTTAATAGTTTTCATATGTATGATGAAGTAAACCTGTGTTCAATGAAATGTTAACATTGTATCATTCCTCTGCATTTGTAGTTGGATTTCACACACACTGCTAACCTTAATGTAATTGGTCTTGGCAAGGCGTATGAATTCTCTCATAACTTAGTGCTACATCACATGATGGTTAAAACCTGTATCATGTAAATTCTACTTATTGTTGGCATGCCTAAAACTTCATAAAATGAAGCTATAAGATTTCTCTCTGACATGTAGCTTCATTAATTATGACAATTGCAGTCAAAGTAATGCTTGTAAAATAAAAGATGGTCAAAATTATGTTTACCTGAAGAAAATAAATTCTTAGTATTGTAAATATTAATGGAGTGTCTTTAAATCCTCAGCAGAACTTTTTAAAGTTGCACTAAATATAATGTATTGTTAGTATATTAAAGATTGGCTTGTACAATCAATAATAAGTTTCTTTAATATGCTCTTATATGTTCAATGTTATCTACAGCCATAACTATATTAACTGTATTAATCAACATTCTCTAATTCAGTATATGATGACAACTCACCTTTTGTTCAGAAGACTGAAGCTTTTGAAACTTTTTTCAAATCTCGAATAGAGTTTTATGATAAGGTAAGTTATTAGATTATATGTTGCTTTGGATACTTTTGTTTTCTGAAGCTGGTTTAACCGTGCACATTTGTATATTTGCTTCTTGTAATTATATGCTGAGAGAATCCAAGGTATTCCTTGTATTTATGAATGTTTTAATTTGGTTTTTCCTAAGAGTTTGCAGATTGATTCTGTAAGAACCTTTAGAAAATTTGTTTAATCTTGTTCTTCAGTTCCCTATGATCTGATGTTTAATGCTAAGATTTGGATGGATGGACAAATAGAAGACATTTTTAGAAAATAAGGAAGAGTTTTCTTGTCCTAAACTATACACGTTTTGTTGTTCAGATATTTAACTATTTACACAGTGTATGTTATCTTTCAATCAAATTTATATAATTTATCCTTTTTATTTTGTGCTCAGAGTGAAAAGAGGGTAGTATAAGTCAGTGGTGTTGCTAAGTTCAGTGAACAAAGAACATGTGAGAGCATCATATAATGCAAATGATGCGTATTTTGGAATATGAGGCAGTTAAATCCACGATTGGTATTTTTGGCAGTCTTTAATATCTGAGAACGCTTAAACAGCTTACGACTGATTAAAATAATGTGTAATGGAGTAAACGACAGAGTTATAACTTTACTGAACACCAGTTCAAAACACTTCTATTTTATAGGATGAAATAGAAAGAAAAGGAAGTATTCTTGTGGATTATAAGGAACTGATATCTGATAAAGTATTAGTGGAATCGTTACCCGATGTTACTGTTGAATTAAGAGATACGCCTCAAAAAATATTAGATTGCATGGGTCTGGCTATACACCAGGTAAGTGCACTAGACAAATAATAGATATTTTTACATTCCAAAGCCTTATTATTCACAAAATGCAAATCTTATCTGGTATGAGAGAACAAATATATTTACACTTCATATAAAAAGCAATAATAATAATATGATCCATACATACACATATCTTAAAATTAAGTCTGGCTGAATTCAACAGGACTTAGAAATTTACATAAAGTTTGAGCCCAAATCTTAAACCATTTTGTTTATATCCTTGGGGTAAATGACGTGATAATAAAAAAAGGAAGGATTATGAACATTTAATAACTGCTTGGTAGTGAAATCCTGCTTATGTATGTTAATCCTCTGTATCTGTGTTAAGCAAGATTACCTTGGTTTTGAAAAGCAGGCTAGCATAAGCAGAATATGAATTAAAGCGGTCCCATCATTTCAAGGTCTTGTGTAGTTGCTTCAAAGGCTGTTTGGGTGTCTGCGCATGTGTGCATGCACAGCAGCTTTGCTGATATTCACATCAGAATTCTCACACACAGAAGCAGATGAAAGGTAAACACAGCTGCATTAGGACTTGGAACTGCGGTCCTTTACAAACATACATTTTGCTTTACAATGCTAAATAGTTTGGTTTCTTAATTGCAGAGGCCTCTAAACAACCTCAGTTGTGGGGATTAGGGATCCTTTGGAATGGTATAGCAGGGACAATGCATACTACAGTGTAAAAGAAAAACAAATTACAAGAAAAATCTTCCCTTTGATGGTTAAAAGCACCATCTGCTTCTAAAAATGATATTTCTATATTAATTATTTAATGGAATTCAGGCAGTTTCTTTTTTATTCTCTAGATATTGATCAAAGACCTTGAAAAGCATGCTGCAAAACTGCAAGAGCAAGAAGGGCTACCCATTGATGAAGAGCCTATTATAAATGTGCCACATATTCATGCAAGGTATCTATTTTTTAAAATTATTCAATTATGAGACAAACTGAAAATGTTTTTAAAAGTTTTGTACACTTTCTTGTATATGAATACAAAATGGCAAGAACTCTAAGTCTCTGACATTTTTGAGAAAATGATAGCATAAGAAATCTTAGAAAATTTTAATAATATTATTAATTTCTGGAATATCACAGAAAACTGATATTGAACTTGTACCAGTAG